GAACAGGCATGAGCTGCTTCAAAAAAGAAAAAAAAAATTAAACCTTAATTAAATGGTGGAAAATTAAAGGTCAACCACTCTTCATTATGCCTACGTTAATCCGATTTGTTCATTTTACATTGTCGAAGTTTCGTCATTCGATTCGGTAGTGATTGTTGCTCAATTTCCTCAAACAATACTTTCAGGCAGATCCTGTTTGAGCGCTTATTACCTGCATTCAACATTCAAAAAGTAAATGCGATTTTAATCTAACAAAACTACATGTAGCAAAGTGAAAGCCAAAATCCTTGGCTTTAGCCTGAATTGCGGCGAATACCTTGATCTAATGATTCCTATTAGCATCCAACTTTTCAGAGAATAAGTGCATTTGTTGGAGTGGAATTGGGGCATGTTTATTCATAATCATAATCTATTTATGATTATGGTTTTAATGGAGAAGTTGTTTCGAGAATGGTGCCACTGTTTTCTCGGGCAAATACTTAGCCCCCACTAAAATGCCGAAACTTTGCCAACTCAAATACCCAAGAAAAACAGTGTTTTTTCGGGGGTGAAACCGTTCGACCGAGACACTCAAATTTTCCGGCACATGGAATTATCCAAATTTTCGCCCAAGTGGGTTTTTTCCTTTTGAAGTAAACAGCAATTTGCCTGATCATATGACTATTCATTCGACTTTCCTCTGTAACTTTAATGGGACAAACACCCACACCGTTCATGTTGCTCGGTGTATTTTCCCTCCTCGAATTGATTATGCCGCATTAGTCACTTTACATGTCTGAGTCCTTGAACTTTCACGTATAAAATCGTAAAATATCAACGTCATTTGGTTCTCCACCAATATTGAGTCATGCACTGACCCTTCGAAAGCTCACTAAATACTCGTTTTTTCCAAGTCCAAACTGGCTTCAGGTTATTAACACTTTTAATTTTTTTTTTGAGATATTCGAATGGGTAAGGAGGCCAACCGGAACGGAACCATGCGAATTTCTGTAAAGGTCATTGCTTCGTTAATCATTTAAATATTTCTGTTCAGATCGACAATCAATGGTTTGCCACCAGGTGATGGTCCAAAAAAGGTTCGTGGTGCATAGAAATCGATAATGGCCTCAGCCCGGTCATTTATCCTACCTCACCATTCGGTTCAAAACATGTCGATGTCGGTACGAAATATCAGTGGTTCTGTACCTTATTGGTACCCGGTACCTAATTTGTGTCAATGGCCTTTTGTGCGTCGTCCAATCTGGTTGGCGTTTTTGGTCAAACAATCGAAATAGCTCCCTTTTGACAGTAAGTAATTTTCAATAAATATGCTTGTTTAATCTGTTTATTAAATACCGTCGAAATTTGTCAGCCTTTATATTTAAAGGCTGATTTATCGATCGCATCTCGCAACTTATAATATTTATATTTTTGGAATCGGGTCTAAAAATATCGGTTTGTTTTTCGCGTTCAAGTTTACAATGAAAATCGATCAGTTTCAAGGAGCTTTCTCCGATTTTTTCACGAGGTTTGTTACGGGAACCTGACCAACTCCCAACTCCAAACGGAGATTGATACACCCAAATTTGATCAGTTTTCAGCCTTGAAGTGTCTTTTCAGCAACTACATTCTAATGAGCAAAGTCAAGAACACGTGCGTGGGTATTTTCAAGTTGAAAACTGTGTATATTGTTACTGACACAGCCACTGTTGGAGGAGAGGAGGCTCAGTTTGCCGGTTTAAATAAAATTACAAAACCGCACTACATTATTCAACGGGCTCGCGCTGAAATTCACCGCGTCTAAGTGATGACCTGTTTAGTAATTTATGTGGAAGCTGATGAGACGTTTCGCTTTGAAACTCACGTAGTCAAAGAACCGGGCAAGAACTGCACATGCACTCGATTTTCATCTGGGACTCCTTCAGCGTTTCGTGGGGTTTTTTCGCAAAAAAATCCCAATCTAAACTGGATTTTTAAAAGCCCTCATGAATTATTCTCGATAAATTTTATCTTCGAACATTTCCCAAAGAAAAATCTGGTGGTGTTAGATCCAGTGATTGTGCAGGATATTGAAAAGGTTTGATTGAAGTTTGTCCGGGCATCTATCTGCATTTAAACAGCGATAAACCAGTTTATTTTGATACAAAAAATAACATATATTTACGCCAAATCGGGCCATATGGGATGTTGTGCGGTTCTAATGTTCTTCATTGTGTCGATTCAGAATATCGCAACTTGTAAACCGACAGTCATCCGACGAAATTATTTTTTCGTGTAAGGAACGAGCCTGGTTAGATTTATTTAAAACCCCGTGGCAAAATTCCATTTTTTTCACAGCATCCCCAGGGTGCAAATATTGGGAAATTTAACAACGTAAGGAAAATAAATGTTACAGTGCCAAATTTGCTTTAAAACTGAGTAATTTCCGATTGTTTTGAGCGATTTGATTTCTATTTTAACYGCACWCCMCTTGGTTTTCTGTCAGTAAGTGTTTTTGCAAACATGTTGAGCTTCAGGTAAAATTCCTACAGGGTGAAAAMTAAAATTGATAAAAGCTGCTCAAAAAATGGTTAAAAAAAGGAATGGTTTTTGATGTTTCGTTTGTCTCTTGTGCAGGGTGTTAAAAACGCTTTAGWTTTGCTGTAATTTRAWKYTMWAAAT